GTTGCCTTTTATATTTGATTTACAGCCATATGATATTTGTAATGTCTCTAATAATATGCTATTGGGTGCATTCTAACATTCTTTAAGAAATGCAACACTATGGTCGCTCTATTCCAGCTGGAGTTGTGTTATAACAGTGAAATGTTAACATGACACACACAAGGTTCTGTTTTTCTGTGAGTCTTGTAATTCGGTACACCACACAATGTTATTTTAACTGAACATTACATGCACCATAAATATGGATGAATATCTCTTAATATAAACAGAGATACTGTCTGTTTCATTCCATTTGAGAGTGCCCTGTGTGATTCAGTTGTTTTATTAGGCTAAGGCAGCTCTTGAAAATATTCATCTACATTTAACACTTTTGTTTTATTTATCTGCCTTCAACAGGCACATAAACTTTGGCCTTTTCATAAAGTTTGATACATTTTATCTATGCAGGGTGATATGAAGTGCAAAACACAAAAACAACACAGACAAAAAAGACTGCACAACACCTACACAAATGTACACAACACAAACAAAAATAAGTGCACAAATAAAAATGTGTTCAAAATGGAAACAGGTTCTCATAACTGACATGACATCTTTTGTAAAGTGAGAGGGGACGTTACTGACTAGTGTGAGGTAAAGTATAATTTATCTGGACCATATTAAAGGTTAATATAAATAAAGTAGTAAGAATGCCATAGTTTAATTTAAATTCTATAGACCTCTTATTTACTTTTGTAAATTAAAATAATAAAGGTTTTAGAGTGGGGAAACTCTCATTCAAAGCTATGTACTGTACAGTATACTGTATGAGCTTCTCACAGAAACATACAGTATCTCTGGAAAGGTTGGACCACAAGACAGCATATTGTTTTGAGGTCAGTATGGGCAAAACAAATGGTTCTAACAAAGCTGCCCTCCAAAAAATGGACACAACATCCTACTGTCGTGGTTTTCAAGGTTTTAGAAAATTAACGAAAACGTCTCAAGAACTCAACATGTGCACTCCACTCAGCACTGCCCTCTCACCTTACAACAGATGTTATGTCCGTTGTGAGAACTTATTTCTGTTTTGAACACATATTTGAGCACTCATTTTTGTTTGTCTTATGTCATTTTATTTTTGTTTGGTTTCTCATTTTTATTTTCACTGTGTCATTTTTTTTTCTTTGTGCATTCATCTTTGCTTTTGTGTTTTGCACTTCTGGTCCACCACAAAATTTGTTTCCTGTACAGATCTTTTTGACAGCAATATGCAATCTGACCAAAAATGGGGGAAAAAAAACAACAAGATAATTTATCAATGGAGGAATGTCTGGAAATACATTTAAATTCATCACTTCTATGGAGGATGTGAAAAAAATCAATATCTCTATCTTCTTCTGAGGAAAAACCAATGTAATATAATTAAATCTTCCAGAATACCTTTTACTATTTTATAAAAATGATTTTAATGTGGTTTTTGGTCTTTTTAGATTTTTTTCACCTTATTATTTAAAAATCCACAAGAAAATATGGCTTTTAAAAGAACACACTTGTTTATCTTAAGGTCATGAAGCAACGACAAGTTTCTTATTTTGTCTTTTGTTTATATTACCTTTATCCTCGTTTTACTGTTTTACTAATACAGTACTTTGAAAAAAATCAAACATGATAATTATACCTGGTTTGATGTTTCAAAGAAAATCTGTGATGATTATCTTAACATGAAGTGTATTTTTAATGTCAGGTACACTTATTTTTTCAATTGTTTGATTTTTGTTTAAATATGAGGTTATAGGGAAAATAAAAAATCCATGTTGCCTTGAATAATTTAACTTTATCATTTAACTGACTTCCTTACAAACCATTTATTTCTTGAGCTACAGTACACTGCATAAAGCTGTACACTTCCACAAGCAAGTCTGTCACACCCTACTAATGATGCTGCCATAGCATGTATTACTAAGGGTTGTTACAATGAAAACACTTTTTAAATATGAGTTCAACAAAACCTCATCAAAATTGGATCATGTCTGAAATGGAATGGTTTAGTAATTCTACAATTATACATTCTGTGGGAATAACTTGCAATAAAATTAAAATTAAAAACACTTGTAGAGAAGTGATGAATTGAAATCATTTTATTTGATAATTTTAAAACTAAGTTTGTACCCCATAGTAAACAAACTTTAGTAAATTGGCAGTAAAACTCCTTCCTTTTCTTTACAAGACATGAATGCTACAGTGCTCTCTCAGAGTATTTTTTTGTTATAGGCAGGTGTTCAACCATCATTTATGTTTGCTGATTCTCAACATATAATTTCCAGTGATGAAAATACAGCCCTAATTATGTAATGTCATGTGAAGAAAATAATTTTTCAATGAGTATTGATTGGTGTCCAAGAATTGTTAGTACTTCACTTTTATGTAGCCCTGCAATTCTCTCGTTCATTTTACATTGATTTACATGGACCCAGTCTTAAGTCTATCTATTTTTTTTAAACTAAGGCATACCCGTCTACTACTGGATCACTGACAAAGGCTGTGAGTCTGTACATAATTGTAATTAAAGTTTAAGAGATTTCTCACATACTGACATACCTCTTCCAATGTTTCAACATTTAAAATACCAATTCTATCATTTATTTAAAAAATAAAATAATAAATAAATTTCACTCTTCACTCATTTTAATCCGAAGCTACAATATTATTAAAGCCACTTCATTTATTCATAACCCAGTAGTTCTGTTTAGGGTTACACAAATTTGGTTGGGTGGAGATATTACATTTATATTTTACTAAACTTCTGTGATATTTGTGATTTAATCTTTCTAAAATGTGAACTACAGAATCTGAATGTATTTTGAACCAACATAACATATTTTATGGTACTATATAACATACACTTCAAGGTCGTCTAGACTCATCCATTAAGTTCTGGGGTAATATAGTGTACTTTATGTTAATAAACAAGTTTTTACTGATCTTGTAAAAAGAAGGAAATTATTTACAAGTCTCCTGGATTTGGAATTGCATTTTTTAAATCGTGTATTCATAAAATACATTTTAAAACATGCAAACATAACACATGAACCAGACTCATAACTGAGACTGAAAAACTAAAACATATTCTGTAGAATTACATATGAACTAGTTATTATGAACTACAGTTCAGTAAATTTAGTTGCAAATGGACAGAATTATACTTTTCAGCCAGAGATATCTGCCCAGCACTATACCATACAGAACCAATGGTAAAAATACAATTAATGATGTAACTTTTTATTCGGGTGTGATCCAAAAACAAAATGGATAAATATAAATTATATATAAATCACTCCTTAACCAAATAGCATTGATAAAATTGTGCAAACATTTTAGCAACCATGCATTGACTGTTCAGAAGAGTAAAATATTTGAGGAGAAAAGAAGTTTGCACAGCATATCTGAAGCAAATCATATTAATGCCACATAACGTCTGTCACACATTTCTGTCTAAGCCACTCAAACTGAAATTCAAATGACCACTGAGGTCACACCCAATTTACAACAAGCCAGTGTACAACATAAGGTGCAATGACATCATTTTAAAATGCAACATATTGCATGAAGACATATATATATACCATCAATTTAAAAATATTTAACATCTTTTAAATCAGGTTTCATTAATATATAAAGCTTAAAAATAAAAATACTGCATGACCCAATGGACAATTAACCTTTCTTGTTTAATGCTAAATATTATTTTTTAGTCACATAAATTCTTGCAAAGACAATGATGCTGACTGTGCAGACAAAAAGTGAAGACTCAGTAACCCCTTAAGAATTTATTAATCTACAGAGACTGAGAACAATCTACAGTATAAAGATTCAAATTCTTTGTCATAATATGTCTAATATATATATATTAATGTCCTTGACTAGGATGTGCACAATAAGTGTAACGATATTTGTTTGTGAAAAACACTAGTCCAGATGCAGATATAAGATTTGTTTTATTATTAAATGTAACAAGCCTATAATCAATCAAATTATATGTATATATCAGAACTGTATTAAGATAGAAACTTTCAGTGCAAGGTTTAGAATGACAAATTCAACATCCATGATTTTAAACAGGTTAATGTTATAAACCTAGAAATGTTTTTTTTTAGTCTCATGAAATGTGCAACAGAAAGATCAAACAGCATTGTGTTAGGCAGCATACATCTGGTTCATATATTTCTGCACTTTTAGAAAAACAGACTCTACTACTATTACTTTACTCTGACATTAATTGTCTCTTTAGAAATTCTCCACTGAAAAAGATATATCTGTCCTGGTCGAGTATTTTAGAAATGAATTTAAATAAATACATTTAAATAAAAAAAAGTTTACAAAAAAAAGTGATATCTTTTTGCCCAGGAGGATACAAAATAATGTTTTATGTGACACTTTGTAAGTATGTCTTAATAAAACAACTATTTTAAAACAGAAAAAAAAAACAAAACTGATTATTTTGCTGTCAGGTTTACTATTATTTTTACAGTTGCAGGTGCAGTGTTTACAGTATAAATCGTTCAGGTTTCTCTGTTGAGAAGATCCCTTGGTAAATATCAGCTTAAACCAAAATGAATTGAAAAAAAAAGTTCAAATTCCTTGTACTGAAATATACTAGACATCTCTTAACATATTCAAAATGTTGGATAAAAATATGTAGTATGATATAGTACTTACATGTTTTCTGTCTACTATATTTGTTGTTCATATGACTTTAACATTAGTCTTGGCATTACAAAAATTAGAAGAAGAAGTCTAATGTTTTTTTTTTCTTTATGAGGTAAACACACTCTTTCAATTACTCACAGGCAGCCTTGAGAAACAGAAACACATGCAAGTCTATATAAATTCTAACTTAACACATGAGGCCCCAATGTATGTCATTATTTCTTTGTAAATGCTAATTAACAATCACTAGAACTTAATTACTTCACTAATGAATTGAACAAAAGAATAGAAATGAAAATCTTTGCACTTACGGTAAGCTGCTGTGATTCAGACTGGGTTCACACTTTGAATGGATCACTTGCCAAGGCTTTGTCTCCACAGAAAATCTCTCATCCAAGTCCGAGGTGGGTTTTACTTCTAATAGAATTGAAGACAATATATAATAACAACAAAAAATGACAGCTTAATGAGGCGACAGAATTACTTAACTAACCCTGCTCTTTACTCAAGACAGCCCTTGTTGCTGCTAGTACTGTATTTTAAACACCCTTTACATAAGTAGTGCTCTTTCATAGACATCTATTACCCTTGAGGCTCTACCATTTCACCTACACCTGGGTGGATCTATGAAGCGTCATTCCCTCTGTCAGAGGACCCGACTCTGCCTCTGCATGGAAATAAGAACTTGTCTCCTATTAATAGAGCCTTATAGTGGATTGTGCGAGAAGGTAGTCTGGTTAGCAGATGTGTGAAATAGTCCCAGCAGAGCAAAGGATTGTAGAGATGGGCCGTGCCAGGGCACAAACAACACACTGACTTGGGCGGTGATGAACACGCCAATCCCTCTGTGTGCACTGCAGGGAATGGGGCTGATAATATTACTAATAGGAATCATCATATGTTAAAGGCATTGTTCTTTTATAAGCCTTAAGAGCTGTTTCGCAGCTTCTAACATGATTCTTATTGCTGAGAAAAAAAAGGTCCTAATTTACTTGGCAAAAATATATTGTGTTATAATTATAAACTGTGTTTATGTCAAAGATACTTGGAGGATTTTGTTTTGGAAATGGATGAAGTTCTGAAGCATTCATTTAACTATCTCTGCTCCTCCAGATTCATATTCTATTGCTGCATGGTAGAATTTTGTTTTATCCTAGGTTTAAAATGTATCAATGAATAGCACACTATAAAGGCATACAGTATACTGTACATGAATTGTTAAAATGTAAGCAACACAGAAAGTCATCTTTCAAAATAAAAATAAACATAAGGCATTAAATATTCAGGTAATACTGTAATTCACTTCCTTTCCATGGCAAATTATGATGCTGGATTAACAATTAAGAAATACAACAATTTAAGGTAAAAATGTATTATCATGTACTGTATGTGTTATTTTTTGAAATATAACATTTATGAAATATAACATAAATAAATTGTGTCATAAATGGGCTGAAAATGTGCTAAAATGCCTTTAATGGCCCCTTTCTCTCCAGTTTGCACTTTCAAGATTGCTCCTGTTTTAATTTTGACATTTTAATATTTGTATCCCCACAGAATAGTGTGACCAGCACTCAGAATGAACTAACATTCCTTTTAACATTCAAAAACACAATCACATAAAATTAATTTAGTATTTTGGTCAAATTTGGTCAAAAGACAATGAATATAAATATATGAGAGAGCATGTATAATATTTTAATGTTTGGTATTAACTCGCCTGGCACAAGAAATGTCAACCTGGCCATAAGGTCAAGGCTGCCAACCCCCTCCCCCCCCACTTGCAAGCAATGAACCAGGGAAGCTGCACAAGGGTGAAGATGGGGTAACAGCAGGCGAGTATTTATACATAAGAGTGCACAAGCGCAGGATTACAATTTGATCTCCTTCCGAGCTTGTGTTTAACATTTCCATTTCTAAGGCTAATATTGAAACATAATCATGTTGTTGAAAATATAACCATAAATAACTAGATCAATAACTCTTGCAATAAGATGCAGTATGTGTCAGTAAGCAAATGTTTGTGACAGAAAAGTTACCTGTTGAGTATGTTGTACAAAAGCAAAAACATTTTTTTCTAGAGTTATTGTGGGAAAATGAACAGTTGTCTTAAATAAATACCTTAGAATGTTCTGTATACAGGAACAATGTTTTTGTTCTCTCAAGCTTTTGAATTCACTGTGCCTAGAGAAAACATTTAAAAACCTAAGCATCTATACATACTTAGATGCAATTTGCATAATGCTATTTTTAAAAATATTCGCTTCCGAATGTCTTCATTAACATAAATACGATATTTAAACAGCTCCACACAATTTTCCAACAATCCAAAACACCTGGGGTACAGCTCATATTATTTGGTTGGTGGACTCACTCATTAAAGTATTCTAATCACTCCAGTTTAGACATAACACAGAAAAGGATCTCAATTGTTATGGGAAGTGGAATCTGACAAATCTGATAAATATGAAGTCCAGAGGGCTTGAAAATTGGTTTCCAATGGGATTGTAATTCATGACCTACGGGATGCAAGCAGAAAACTATCCCAGCTCTTAGACAAAATACAAGCCCTTTACCTCAAAGCCTGTTGCACTTAGAAATGTCAATGGGAATGGAGCTTTAGCTTGTCAAAAGCTGTCAAATTTGTTTGCTGTTTTGTTGTGTGAAACCTGGTTTTTAAGGCTGATTTTTCTCAGTTCTTCTCTTTATAGGGATAAACCAGAAACACATGCAGTCTACACTTATGAAGTAAGGAATACCTTGAAATCTGCCAGATCTTGGCAGGTGACAAAGAGTCTACAGTATATATCCAGACATAAATGTTACATAATTTTCTGAACCACAAACAAGAATGTTACAAAGTTTTGTTGGCTGAATACAACCTTAAACTTCAAATAGTTTTATGCTTGGAAATAAATCTGAAAAAGTTCAGTTTGTCAACATCCAAAACTAAAGGAAGTGGAATTATAACTATAGTGTAATTTATTTAAAAAAGTCAGAGGTCTGCATCATCTAACTAACCATGTTGAACTCAAGAAATGTTATTAATTTGAAATTAGCTGCATTCTAAATTCAAACAATACAAACATCTAGAAAATTTGAAAACTGTGAAAACATTATTAAGCAGGAAATGGGACATAAAAAGATGAACAACTTACAGTGTTTAATGAATTCTTGTTCCTTTTTTTAATTATTCTCACCTAGAGCCCAATCCTGGTCCTCATGACCTATTTGTCTTCTTTTTTACCAAAGACAGTCTCAATAGCTTAATTGAAAATGGTCATTAATTGAACTAGTAATTTTACAAGTTAGATATTTTAAGTATATTCTGCCCTGTACTGTAATTGTTACAGTACTTTTAAGTGTAATGTGCTTATTTTTATACATCTGTTAAAATTTTGGAAAGTTATACTGAAGTGTACGTATATTGAACCTTTTGAATGCGACAATTACTAGTTAAATTTGGGTTTCATTTAAAATAATCAAAATTTTTGCTGGAAACAATCTGGACACCGGCATCTTGACATAGGAAAGAAAAAGCATGGGAAATACTTGAACACAAGATAATTTAAAAAGGATACATTTAATTATCTTTTATAACTATGCCCAAGAAGTGTAAGTAAAATAAAATAATGTTAAAACATAGATTAAGCCATTTGGACGTTTTTTTGGTTTTATGGTGAGAAACTCATTGTTGTAAAACAAAAACAGTAATAGGTTTATTCCATGCTGAAAAGAGAAGAAAGAAAACACAATGTTTCAGCCGTGGAACCTTTTTCAGAAGAAAGGTGGCTTTGCTGGAAAATGAAAAAGGAAATGGCCCTCTCTGCACTTTGAGGAGTAAGGGGCAATTCAGGGTTTTGTTTATCCAATGGGAGGTTATAGGCATGGAGGCAGCCAATGAGTTTATGAGTTTATATAGACTGATTTTTATTCTCTGTGGGTCTGGTATTAGTGTAGGAACCTGGATCAACAATGATGTTTAATAGTGTGATATAGCTTTAAATGGGTAAACAAATAATCCAAAGAGACCATAGATCAAATGAGGGATGATTAGGACTATTAAATAAAATCGAAAATGATTAATAAATAAGCTAGAAGATTCATCTCCACAGCTGTAACGTTGTGTTTTTTTTCTTCTCTTTTCAGCATGGAATAAACCTATTACTTGTTCCTTTGCAGCCTACGCATGCTGACGCAGCTACCCACCTAAACAAAAACAGTTTTACATAACACCTTTCATGGTACTATACAATATCTCAAGCAATGCTTTTCATTGAATAATGACCATTTAATAGAGTAATATAGTTGCATACCAGTTTTGATGCTTTTTTCTCTGTATCCATGCCTTTCAAAATGTCCCAGTGTTGGCTACTACAGCAAAAGGCACATTATAAACAAAGACTTCTTCAACTTTAACAGGTTTGTTAAATATATTAGAGATTATGCACGTTGCAACCTGGGTTTCAATGTATAGTACTACAATAAAGGAGTAGGTAGGACAGAAAAAAAGGCTATATCTTGCTCAATAATGTAGTTGGAGTAAGAGCTGTATAGTGGTAATATGAGGGATGACAGAAAAAACAGTCACTGTCAGAAACAGAATCCTGACCTGGTCTATGCATTATATTAAGGGATATATGTATATTTATTGAGTTAGAAAGTATTCTAGGTCTAAAAACACTGATTGTTTTTACATTTGATCAAAATAACAAAATTAGAAATATGAATTTTTAAAATAACTTTTTATAAGTTGCTTTCAAACTGTTCTAAGCAGGTAATACAGCATATGAGACTGCTAAATATTGCTGACTGTCTGCTTCACCTGGTTTTGATTCTTCATTCCTTAAGATGTCAACCCCTCACACCATTTCAAATGGCCAAGATCCAGTACAACATACTGAACATCCTGGGGAGAAAACTCCAACTGTAACCCATCTTGGCTCCAAACCAACAACTTTATGCTTCTGATTCCTATTGTTGACATCATTAGTTGCACACAACTGCTGGAGATTTTACTTGTTGGCACAATTCTAGATCTTGCTGAAAAATAATATCATAGTGGCTTAAAGGCATTTATACATTATTTATACATTTAAATCTCCAAGAACTACTGAGCCACATAGGCAAGATTATGTCTGTTGGAAGATGAAAAAGTGGACTTCTGTAATAAATGGAAGGGTATTTTATGAAGCATTAACAACCAGCAGTTGTTGCCATTTTCACAACAAATTATGCCTTTTAGCAAATTACTTTGCGTCAGGACTTGTTCCTCCCTTGGTCCTATATTGTGTTTCATGGTGTATCCCTTGTTAAGATACATCTAAGCATTCATTTCCATTTCATTAATCTACTGGAAAATGTTTACAATTTTGGTAACAATAAAAGTCAAGGGACAATTAGTCTATTCTGTTTTT